TTTACTAAATTAAAAAATCGTTTTATCAGAATAACCTTGGTCCCAATTTTTTATAAAATTAATAGAAAATTTTTGAACACTTTTAAATTCGTCATTTTTTAATTAAAATTTAGTCAACATTTTTTTTATAATGTTCAAAATTAGGTCATTATTTGCAAAGAGGGGTCCACCTTATTTTTGGCCATAGCTCGGTGAAAAATTAACATTTTTTAATTTTTTTATTCTACTTGTTTTCACGGCGTATTTATGATAAAAAGTGCCGTGAAAGGAAAAAAAGATTTCGATAGTTTTTTTGCTTTCAAAAGTTGGATAAAATTTTGGCTCTCATATTTTTGGATAAAATTACTATTTTATCTTTTTTTGATATATATTTTTTTGAAAATTACATAAAGAAACGAACAATTTAAAAAAAAAATTGAATATCACAATTTTCTAAAAATTTTGTAAAATTGTGATAATCAACTTTTTTTTTTAATTGTTTATTTTTTTTATGAATTTTTTATCAAATAGAAATTTTGTTAAAAAAAATGAAAATTAAAATGGTGGACCCCACTTGTAAATAATTACCCAAAATTTTCATTTTAATTTGTTTTGAAAATGCGAAAAAATAAAAAAAAAGTTATTTATCAGTAAAAATATATAACCAAAGATGACAATTTATAATTTATATAAAATATTGTAATTTTTATCAAATTTCTCAACCAACATTTTCGTCAATAAGTAATACTTCACCAGGATTAAAAAAATATACACAAATATTTCGAAACTCGACAACAAACCAACTCACACACAAAGTAACTTTAAAGTCTTATCATTTTCCAAGTTTTCTTTCCGCTTTCAAAGTGTTCCATTGCAAGCTCTATATAATACTTTTCACTTCACCCGGCTTCTAAATGGCTGTGCAAACAATAGTGACGTAAATGGCAAAATCCTTCAAACTTACTCCTGAGGTTAAGTTTCAATTTCAATATTTATACAGAGGGCAATTATGATGGCTTATATTTTTCATAAATAACCTCGTATTTACAATTTATTTTTCAATCTAAAATAAAATATAACTAAAAGATAATTTAAAATTCAAACCTTATAAATAGGAATTTTTGATATATGTAAGCTAATACAAAAAAGTGCATTCATTTTAGCTACCCCCGTAGCAACTAAAAGAAGCGTCACCCCAAAGATGTCCAGACCCGCCCCGATGAAGAATGAGACCAATGGGGTCCGTGTATATGGTACCCGAGGGTTGTTCCGAAATTAAAATATCCTTTTTGAGCAATGATGCGAAATTTTAGCTCAGTGCTATGTATATAGTAATGAGATGGGGAGCAAGCTATCCTCGGAACAGGGAAAGGGCAAGGGAGAAATGATGATGCGTTCCCTACTATACTCTCTTGAAGCATATTCGCTCTTCAACCCCTTGTTGGGGATTCATATCCTATAGACACCCTTCACAAAAAGCGTCATCATACTTAGCTACGCCGATGGGCATATGCCATGCTTGTATCTTCTGTGTATACAGTCTAATATATTTGGACCTGCATTATTCCACCGGTAAGATAACGTTACCATGATTTTTAATGCCTACGAGGGTTGATCGACGTTGGTACTACTTGGGGCACCCGGTTTCCTCTTTTAATGGGATTAGTCGTGTTATTAGGGACTCGAAATTGCCAGTTAACATTTCGTCGTTATTTTCTTCTCTATGCTACTGTATATACGTATATAGAATAGATGTGGATATAATACGAGTTAACCCTTGTAATTGCGTCATTAAGTTTTATTTGTTTTATTATGATTATTTTAAATTATTTTAATGACGCAATTTTTTTCCTCATTATTTTTTTATTTTATTTATGCTTTTTTGCAATACTATAAACTACGGAAAAAGTATCTGTCTGGGGCTTGAGGTTCTCTGAAAAAGTTCCAGGGTGTTTTGTTTTTAATGAGTCTGTGAATATTTAAAAAGTTTTAAAGCCTCTTTTTATTTCAATTTATTCAGTTATATTTTTGTTGGGAGCGTAAAGCAGAGAATGTCAGTTTTTTTTTTGTTAAAGCTCAACTTTGAAGAGTCAAAAGTCAAAATCAAAAGAGAACTTTATACTCTGTCTGTCAGTAACATTTAACTTTTGGTGTTATGTATATATAAAATATGTCGGATTTTATTTTTTCTTCTGTATGTTATCTGTCCGTTTAATGTCACCGGTAAATTTAACTACGTTATACTCTCTATCGAATTAAATTTTTCCACGGTATTGTGGTTGGTATCTAAACGTCAATAGATTTTATTTAATTTCCTAAAATTATTGATATTATTTTATCAAGATATTTATTCATAATTGTAATGAAGTTAAAAAATAATTTATGGCAAATAGTTGAAAATATTTTAATTCTTCAAGAAATTTATTATTACTATTAATATATTTATTGCTCATCTCAGGATAAAATCCTCGATACAAGTTTTACAGTAGAGGTTTAGATTTTGGTATTTATAATAAGTTTAAACTGGCAATCTTGCAGTCACTATGTGACTACCGTGACTTGTGAACTATAAATAATCAAAATTTTGCTTTATTCAATAATGACTTTTGTTAAATTGTACTGTACTTTTTTAAATATTGACATTTTTAAAGATATAAGCTCATCCCAATGTTAAACTTATCAAGAGCTTTCATTTGAGTACCCACATGCATTTTTGATAT